GGTTTGCCTCAAAACAAGAAAAGTTCTATTGGGACGGTATCCACAAATTACCTGAAAGATGGAGGAAATATGTAGCTAGCGAAGGACATTACTTTGAATAAAGCACTTTTGATGTTTCTCTTAAAATTACCGTGTTTTCTTTGATTACAAAATCCGCATTATTAACTGGTACACCTGGTTTTGGGAACTCACCATGCCATCTTTACATTGCTATAAGTCTAAAATTGTTTCAGAATAGTTTTTTAAAAGCCCTACTCTGAGAAAGGAAAATAAAAGGTAAAAATCAATATGAAAATAGCCATGGTCCTATAAGAGTATAGCAAAGCTAAAGATACAAAGTTCTCAAATTATTTTTTCTTTGAAGGCAGCACACTTAATAGCAGAACAGCACACCCATGGACATGTGTCAGCCTTTGAAAATCATTATCATAAGAAGAGATCACTTTTTTCTCTGTTTAAGCCCTTACACATGTAGCTTCTGGTGGCTGATTTCAAATTCAAAGATCTATTAGATTTGCACGTAATTACAATTCATCAATGTTTAAATACTCATTTTTCTCTTGATTGCAGAACCCCATACCGGGTTTCATGTTGCTTTCAAAATGCTGGATGCAGATGGTAATGAGATGGTTGAGAAAAAGGAATTTTTTAAGGTAAGTAGATTCTAGTTATTTTTGGTGTATCATAAAGCACCTGGATAGTTGTTTGATGATAATTTTACCATTTTCATAAAAACTAAAATTATATTCACTGCTTATATATCAGATGTCAGGAAATCATTTATGTATTAAAAATAGTAAATTTTCTGTATGACAACCTTGAGGAAATAGGCAAGGAACAAAGCATAAGATTCCAAAAACAAATGAGCTGAAGCATCTATGTTTTTTAGATTTTATTTTTACGATTTCAGCAAATGATAATCTACACTAATAAAAAAGAAAAATGGTAATTGGCGTACGATGCTACCCTTTTCATTGCCTAATCAGGGCTATATGCAAATTAGCTGCCAACAAAGA